TTTTTTTTTTTTTTTTTTACCGGTGGGTATTTAATTGTTTCAGCACCAATTTGTTGAATGGCTATCTTCTCTCCATTGAATTGCATGTGTACACTGGTCACTGCATCTGTGTGTGGGTATAGTCCTGGGTCCTCTGTTTCATTCCATTCTCAACTTTGTCTATCCGACCAGTACCTCACAGTCTTGATTACCATAGCTATACAGTAAGCCTTGGAATAAGATCCCTCTGCCATCTAAACAAATATTACAGTAATCTTTATTCCTGCAAAATTCTCACTAGGATTTTGATAGGAATTTCATTAAACCTGTTTACCAGTTAGGGGAGAATTGACATCATGTTGAATCTTCCAACCCATTAACTTGGGTTGCTGTTTATTTATACCTTCTTTGATTTCTTTCATCTGTGTTTTGTAGTTTTCAACATATGCAATCTCTGCATATGTTTTGTTAGATTTATACCTACGTGGTTTTTTTTTTTTTTAATGATTGTAAATGGTATTGTATTTTTAATTTAGTGTCTATGTGGTCACTGCTAATATATATAGATACAATTGAATTTTATATGTTTTCCTATCTTACAACAATGCTAAACTCACTTATTATTTCTCAGAGGGTGCTTTTGTAGATTTCTTGGAATTTTCTATGTAAACAATCACATCACCGGCAAATAGGACAGTTTTATTTTTTCCTTTCTGATCTGTATGTCTTTAATTTTCTTTTCTTGCCTTGTTGCACTGGCTAGAACTTCCAGTACTATACTGAATAATAGTAGTGAGAGAAGACATCTTTGCCCAGTCACTGTCTTCAGCAAAAAGTATTGAGTCTTTCACCATAAGCGTAGCAGGTTCTTCTATATCAGTGTGTTACGTATCTGTGGATTCAACCAACCCTAGATCAGGAATAACTGAAAAAAAAATTTTTTTCAACCACAACAATAAAAATAATATAAAATTTAAAATATAGTATTACAACTATTTACATAGCATTTACATTTCATTGGATATTATGGGTAATCTAGAGATGATTTTAAGTATACAATAGGATATGTATAGGTTATGTTCAAATATTGGGCCATTTTTTTATATGAGACTTTAGCATCTCAGATTTTGATATTTTTGAGGGATCCTGGAACCAATCCCCCACTGATACCAAGAGACAACTATATAACGTTAGCTGTAGGGTTATTGTTGATGATTTTTATCAACTTGAAGAAGTTCCCCTCCATTTCTGTTTTCTGAGAGTTTTATCATAATTATGTGTTGAATTTTTTTTTTTAGAGACATGGTCTTGCCATGTTGCCCAGACTGGTCTCCTACCCCTGGGCTCAGGCAATCCTCTCGCCTCAGCCCCCCAAAGTGCTGGAATTAAGGGCATGCGCCACTGCACCTGGTTAAATATGTGTTGAATTTTGTCAAAAGTTTTGTTTGGTTTTTTTTTGGTTTTTTTTTTTTTGTCAAAAGTTTTTTACAAATTGATATGATCATGTGATTTTTCTTTTTTAGGCTGTTAATGTAGTAGATTACGCTGATTGGTTTCCAACTATTGAACCAGGCTTACATTTCTGAAATAAATTCTTGATCTTGATATATAATTATTTTTATATATTGCTGAATTCTATTTGCTAACATTTTGTGAGTGATTTTGTGTCTATGTTCGTGAGGAATGTTGGTCTGTAGTTTTGTTGTTGTTTTCTTTGTCTGGACTTGGTATCAGGGTAACACTAACTTCATAAAATGAATTGGGAAGTGGTCTCTTTTCTTGTATTTTCTGGGAGAAATTGTTTAGAATGTGTTACTTCTTTAAATGTATGATAGAAATCTCCAGGGGATCCATCTGGGTCTGGAAATTTCTTCTGTTTTTTAAATTATATATTGAATTTCCTTAATAGTGAACTAGGGTATTCAAATTCCCTATTTCATATGAATGAGTTATAGTAGTTCATGCTTTTCTGGGAATTGGTTCACTGTATCTAAGATGTCGAATGTAAGTATATAGAGGAGTTTGTAGTGTTCCCTTACTACCCTTTTGATGTCTGCAGGGTCTGTCATGACATCTCCACCTTTATTCCTGATATTGATCATCTGTGTCTTCTCTCTTCGTTTACCAATCCTACTAAAAGTTTGTCAATTTATTGATATTTTCAAATGACTAACTTTGTGTTTTGGATTTTCTGTATTGTTTTTCTGTTTTGTATTTGCACTGATTTCTACTTTTATCTTTATATTTCCTTCCTTCCTTCTGGTATTTTTGTGGGTTTATTTTGCTTTTCTTTTTCTAGGCTCTTACAGGGGGTTCTTAGATTAGTGAGTTGAGATATTTGCTGTCTTTTAATATAAGCACTTAATTCCATACATGTCCCTCTCAGCATTGTTTTAGTTGTGTCCCACAGCTAAATTTTGATGTGATATATTTTTTTAAGGTCAATGTCTTTTTAAAATTCCCTTGAGACTTTCTCTTTGACGCTTAAATTACTTAGAAGTGTGTTGTTTAGTTTCCAAGTGTTTGGAGATTTTTCTGCTATCTTTCTGTTATTGATTTCTAGTTTGATTCTCTTGTGGTCAGAACACATACTGTGTATGATTTCAACTCTTTTAAAAAATTTGTTGAGGTTTTCTTTGTGGCCGAGGTCATGTTCTTAGTATATGATTTGTAGGTACCTGAAAAGAATGTGTATTCTGCTGTTGTCAAGTGAAGTGGCCTATAAATGTTGATTGTTTGATGGGCTTCTAAATTTAGCTCAAGACTTTGAGATCTTTAACTCTTAAAGATTATATGAAATATTACTTTTTCAAAGATTTCATTATAAGTGATCTAAAACCCTGCTGAGATCACCAAATGGCCTGTAAAACCTTATGATAATTCATGTCAACGGAGGTTATTTTTCTTCCCTGGTAGGTGTGGGTCTTTGGGAAGACAAGGGCATTGGGTTAATCAGAAGCTTAACCTATGACTCTGTGGAAGACATTTTATCTCTTGTAGTATCAAGAGACATAGCAAAACAACATTTTTCTTCTTGTCAATTCATAGAATGCTAAAGCCAGAGAGAACCTTGGATCATCTGGTCTACCCTCTCATTTGACAGGTGAAGCAATGGGGTCTTGAGAAATTAATTTAAACAGATTAGTGTTTTTTTAATGTTTTTTCCTTTTTACAAAATATGTTCATTATAGAAAATGCATAAGACACAGAAAAGCAAAAAATAAGAATAAAATGTATATATAATTTTACAACCAAAAGATAACTACTATTATTACTTTTGAGTGTACCTCCCAATTATTACTTTTGAGTGTCAAAAATGGGGTCACTCTGAAATACTGTTTTGTTTCTGTTTTTGTTTTTGTTTTGAGTTGCAGTGGCACGCTCATGGCCACCGCAGCCTCTACCTGCTGGACTCAGGCAATCCTTCTGCCTCAGCCTTCCAAGTAGCTGGAACTACAGGTGCATGCTACCACATCCGTCTAATTTTTTATTTATTGTAGAGACAAGCTCTCGCCAAGTTGCTCAGGCTGGTCTCAAACCACTGAGCTCAGGCACTCCTCTTGCCTCGGCCTCCCAAAGTGCTGGGATTACAGGCTTGGGCCACCACGCCCAGCCTGAAATGCTGTTTAAAATTTTTTTCTTAACATTAGACATGAACATTTTTCAACATTTTTTTTTTTGAGTTGGAGTCTCACTGTGTCGCCCAGGTTGGAGCACGGTGGCACACTCACGACCACCGATCCTTCCACCTCAGCCTTCTAAATAGCCGGAACTACAGGCATGAGCTACCACACCCGGATAATTTTTTGATTTATTGTAAGGATGAGGTCTTGCCAAATGAGGCTGGTCTCAAACCTGTGGGCTCAGGCAATCCCCTTACCTTGGCCTCCCAAAGTGCTGGGATTACAGGCTTGAGCCACCGCACCCGACCTCAACATATTATTTCTAATAGCAGACTGATTCCCCAGTACACTTATATCATCATATATTTAACATCTCCATTTGATGGACATGCAAGTTATTCCAGTTTTCACTATATTAAATAACATTGTGATTAACATCTTTTGTGTACATCCATGATTATTTCCTAGAAATGGGACACTGGATCAGAGTATATGAACATTTTTAGCTTTTGAATCTTCTTGCCAGATTGGATTATTGAAATTTTTTTGTTTATTTGGGATGCTTTGGTCTTGTTTTCATTTGTTGTTTCTAGTGGAGGGTTAGGCATCAAGTCCACATGGAAGATTACTTGAACTCAGGACTAAGCCTTGTGCAGTTCTCAATGGTTTAGGGTTAGCCAGAACCAAGAAGAGACCTTTCCCTCCCAAAGAGCACAGAATTTCTAAGAAACAAATAAATAAAAATGAAAAATTAAATTAAATTTAGAAAATGCAGAAGAATGCTATTAGCAACTGCACTTTCCAATGAAGTATCTGGCATTGGGCTCGGTCAGGAAACAGGAAAACAGGCAGCGTCTATTCAGCCTGTGTCCTGGCCCTTATAAAACCAGCCACCCAGCCCAGTTTTATGGGCCAGGCAACAAAGGGACAAAGTTGGTGTTAACCCGGGCCTGCTTCCTTTCTGCCAGCCAGCCATGAGAATATCATGTCTTGCACTTGGAGATATGCCTTGAACTTGCTTTGTCACAGTAATTGCCCCCATAAAATGGACCCGGGCATGAAGAGAAAACTTCCCATATTTAGAGAGCCAGTCCTGCCTGCCTTTTATAGCTGGTGCCGAGGACAGGAGGACCACAAGCCCTGGACACTCAGTTGAGAGATCATTGAGGGTTATGGACCTGGAGCAGTCCAGGAGGGAAGGAGCATTTTAAGGTGGACAGGAAGATCCTGGGCCCAGGGAGCCTCCAGGTTGCTGACAGGGCGGCCAGAGCGTCCCTCCAGGTAACTCAGTTCTCCCACCACAGCCTTGGCTCCTCAGCACATGGGACTCAGACCGTGAGGGCTAACGCGTCTTTCTTCTTGTCTCTGTTCCATCTGTCTTTCTTCTTTGGTTTGTAGAGAGAGAAGAATTAATCCAGAGTGTGCTGGCCCAGGTTGCAGAGCAATTTTCAAGGTACAGAGTATTCTAAATACCTATCATCCTGAGATGGGTGCTTCTTATTTTAGTAGCAAAGATATGGGCCCCTTGCTCTGAGGCTGGTTTCGGCTGACAAGCATAGATGTGTCACCTACATGGAGAAACTGCCTACATGGAATGCTTTTGTGACTTCTGTAACTAAGCCAACTTGGATGGGCTCCAGGAATCCCTCACCTTAGACCAAAGGCCATGTCAAGTGGGTACTTTTAGAATGTGAGCTCGTGTTGCCAAGAATTTTCTTGACCGGCTCTTCTGGGACTCGGAGAACAATCTGTAAGAATTGACTCCATTTTAAGATAAGAGTCCTCACTGAGCCCCTATGTAGTTGGTGGGCTTCCTTCCATTCTGAGTCATCCCACCAATTCTAACGTTAATATTGTATTTTCAGTTTCTCAAAATGATTTCTCTGTGACATCTTACTGCCCCAGGAATTGAAATGCAGGAAGGCCAGGCTTGGTGGCTCAGCCTGTAATCCCAGCACTTTAGGAGGCCAAGGCAAGTAGATTGCGTGAGCCCGCGGGTTTGAGACCCACCCGGGCAACTTGGCGATACCTTGTCTCTACAATAAATCAAAAATTAGCCAGGCATTCCCGGGTAGCGCATGCCTGTAGTTCCAGCTACTTGGAAGGCTGAGGTGGAAGGATCACCAGAGCCCAGCAGGTTGAGGCTGCAGTGGCTGGGAGCATGCCATCGCACTCCAGCCTGGGTGACAGAGTGAGACTCCAACTCAAAAGAAAAAGAAAGAAATGCAGGAAAGGGCAGATGGATAAGATTCTTTTAAGCCCTTGAATTGTTTAACTGAATGGGTTGGAGCCTCCAGGGAGTACAGCAGGTCCTCTGAAGGTGTCTATGCCCATCGGGGCAGAGAATGGGGGCCAGACCATGTCAACTTTCTGAGCAGAGACCACTTGTTCTCTCAGAGAGCCTGTGTTCACTGCCCGGACCTGGGGAAGTTAATATACCCACCAGCGTAATACAGTGTCGTCTCCCGCTTGGAAGACACACCTCATGATAATTTGGGAATTCTTTCCTCTTCGTGGGACGTGATGAATTCCTTAAAAACCGTTCTTAGCATCTCTGCACCCAGTCCCTCACTGGGTCTCCCCATGCCCATGGCAAGGATTCAATAGATGTTTGCTGAACCAATGTTAGCTTTGAGAATTTTAAGGTTTATGTTTCCTCTCTCTTTTCTTCATTCCTAGAGCATTTAAAATCAACGAACTGAAAGCTGAAGTTGCAAATCACTTGGCTGTGCTAGAGAAACGAGTGGAATGTGAGTGAGTTTTTTTTTTCCTTTTTGTTTATCTTTAACCTCTATTCAAATCAATCGCTTGGAACAGGGAGGAGTTTAGTGCTGAAGGTAAATGTGGTCTTTTCTTTGTGAAATGCTTAAAAATTACCTTTGATGTCAACAAAGGCTTAGAACAGTGACTAACTATGCTTTTTATTTCTATTTTAAAAGAGACCCAGCTCATGGTGCCAAGGGTAAAAATGTACACACTTAGGGCTGGGTAAACAAAATCCAAACAGGAGGTCATTAAGGGTGGCAGCGTCACCAAAGAATGTCTGGCTGATTGGCATTCGTGCGATTGACTGGTCGCTTTTTGGGTCTTGTTTCTATTGCTTGCAATTTTTCAAGAAAAAAAATCAGGATCATGCAAAACCTCTAAATAAGTTGAAACATGATTTGCATAAGCATAGTATGCTTTTTAAAGTATGTTGACATTTTTAATATCCATGTGGTCATTGGAGCTTCAACACAGTTTTATTTTCCCCATTGATGATGAGGACACCACACAGAGGTTAAATGACCTACTCAAGATCATTCAGCAAATTAGAGAAATAAATAAAACTGGGACCAGAGCCCCAGGTCCTTGCTGAGCTGTTCTCACTACCTGCCACCTGCCCTTCTGGGACAAATCACCTTCCTGCTATTGATGAGAAGATGCCAAACCCGGTAAAATATTTTAAGATTGTTTTTTCTTGCACCAAACTTGAAAACTTAACCAGGAGCACCCATCCTCAAAAGGTCCTAAGAACGTATGCCCACTGTGGTTGAATGGTGACTTAGTTATATACATTTTAGGAAGGCAGAAATTACAAGAAACCACAAATCAGTATATGTAAGATGTTCATTGGTTTGGCTCAGGAAGTTGGAACATTTTCAAGCAGGAGCTTGCAGGCCAGACTATTCACAAATGCCTTGTCTGGTAATGTGTAGTTCCTATCTAAGGAATTTGAGAAATCCTCAGAGGAGATGCTTCATTAAGATAAGAGGGTGGAGCGGGCTTGGTGGCTCAGCCTATAATCCCGTGCCTTGGGAGGCTGAGGTGAGTGGATAGCCTGAGCCCGCTGCAGGTTCAAGACCCGCCTGGATAACTTGGCGAGACCTCATCTCTACAATAAACCAAAAAATTAACTGGGTGTGGTAGCACACGCCTGTAGTTCCAGCTACTTGGAAGGTTGAGGCGGAAGGATCACCGGAGCCCAGCAAGTCAAGGTTGCAGTGGCCAGGAGCGGCCACTGCACTCCAGTCTGGGTGACAGTGAGACTCCAACTCAAAAAAAAAAAAGATAAGAGGATGAAAAACTCCCTTGTTGATCCCTTGTTGATAAGTAGATGTGGCTGACTTCAGGGAGGATTGGTAAGTGTCTCATAAGGCACCCGAGTCTGGGAACCCATAAGAGATGACTTTGCAGGACCATAAACCTTCTTATTTGTTACGTGATATTATGCCAGAGTCAGGTTGGAGAGCAGACTTTAGGAAATAAAACCCTGTCTGGTGAGTCCTTATCAGGCAGTGACTCCCTGAGCTTCTTAGTTAGGAATTTGGGCAAGAGGGGGAAAAAAGGTCAGATTTAATCCTCACTGCACACCTGACTGAAGAGGACCGCACACTCTGTGAGGATTCCTTGATGACACAGGTCAGGAAGTGGCAATTGCAAACAAAGTTGATTGCCGTTACCTTGAGCAGAGAAAGATATTTTTCTGAAGGATTTTGAGAAGTTTCCTGGACTGCCTGGTAGGACTTGGGCATGGGGCTTGGTGGCTGTGCAGCAGGGGCGAAGCCCTGAATACCATGCAAAGCTGACTGCAGGGGTGCCGGCGCTACCATCTTTGAACCCCAGACGTGATGGCAGCTCCTCTGGGACCCTTGGATCTGGACCTGGGACCCCCATAACCCCATGGCCACTGTTGCGACCTCGCTGCTTCTCCATGTCACAGGACAGAGCTGAACCTTGTAACCACACTCTAACCGCAAGGGAGGCCCAAGAAAGGCAGGGCGTGAGTGTCCTGGGGCTCCTATACAAAGCACCACAGACTGGGTGGCTTAAAAGACAGAAATGGATTCTCTCAAATTCTAGAGTCCAAAAGTCAGAAACCAAGGCATCAGCAGACTGGTTCCTTCTGGAGGCTCTGAGGGCTCTCAGTTCCACATTCTCTCCAGCTCCTGATGGTTGCCGGCATTCTTACTGCTCCTCAGTTTAGAAGTCTGCACCATTGTGATCTCTGCCTGTGTCTCTACGTGACCTTCTCCCCTGTGTCTCCATGTCTCAAACCTCCTTCTTACAAATATACCTCTCTCGGAAATTTTTGTTGTTGTTTTTTGAGTCGCGTTCTCGCTCTGTCACCCAGGCTGGAGTGCAGTGGCATGATCACGACTCACTGCAGCCTTGACCACCTGGGCTCAGGCAATCCTCCTGCCTCAGCCTCCCAAGTAGCTGGGACAACCAGCACACATCACCACTTCTGGCGATTTTTTTTACTTTTGGTAGAGACGAGGTCTCACTATGTTGTCTAGGTTGATCTCGAGCTCCTGGGATCAAGCAGTCTTCCTGCCTCGGCCTTCTGGAAACCTGGGATTACAGGCATGAGCCACCATGCCTGGTCACCTCTCTAAACCCAAGATGGGCTCATCTCAAGAGCTCTAATTGATTATATCTGCCAAGGGCCTTTTTCTAAATAAGGTCCTATCCACAAGACCCAAGGTTTAGGGTGTGAACAAACCTTTTTCTGAGGCACAACTCAACTCCCTATAGTCCAGCATTTCCCCAGCAGGAGGCTAGCTCAACCTTCCAACTAAGCCCCAAAACATAGGGAATTCTCCAAACTCAGGAAGGGGTTTCAGCCAAAGAGCACAAAAAAGTTTGTGTGGAGTCACCATCCACATTTCCAGAGGTAAGAGCCACACGATCACCATGTGGCACGCAGATGCCCAAGGACAACAGGTGACTCCTGCCCCTTCTGTCTCTCTCTCTCTCTCTCTCTCTCTCTCTCTCTCTCTCTCTCTCTCTCTTTCTCTCTCTCTCTCCTTTCCTGTGTTCCTGCCTGGCCTCCTTCCATCTCCCCAGCCCCACCCGGAAGTAGCTCCAGCTCCTGCTACACTCTCCTCAGAAAGTGCAAGCAGGCAAGTTGAAGAGGTCATTTAGCAATTTTCAGAACTCTGCCAGAGAATTAAGCCAAACTTAGCATGATGAATAATAATCCTGTGTGGCCTCAGATATCTGACCGCAGAGAACCATCAGGCCAAAATCAAAGTATGTTTGTTTTGCCTTCAAGTGGTGTGTGAGGTGAAGACCGCTGAAGGATGTCGCCCATCAGACCTTCTCTTTAACCTGTTCTAGCCGTGGAATTCTCCAGAATTGCTTGCTTTTTGAAGGGCAGAATCTTCCCAGGGAGCCCTCACATAAATGCACAGAGATTATCTGGAAGAAGATGTCACCTTTCCCTCACCAAGCTAGTTCTTCTGCTGGTCAGACTGGTTGTTACTATCACACTAATTTCTAGCACCAGAGACTGAAAACTGCAGGAATGGGGTAGAGTGAGCTTTCCTCTATAAAGGGAGGGGGATCCTTGGGGGTGACTAGTGGATCTTTTCCTGTGTGCTCCTGGCTGCCCACCTTGCACATCAGCTCGCAGCCCCCACGAGGTGGCTGTGTTCAGATAGTCTCTCCTCCTCAATGGTCTCCACCTGGCTTGGGGTGCGTCCTCTGTGGGCACTTCTGACTGACTTCTTCCCAGTCCCCAAGGGCTCTGCTTTAGTGGGAGGTAGCTGGATGCTGCACCCACACTGAGCCCAGGGAGTATGCGTTCCTGAGCAACCACCTGGTACAGCAGAGCCTTAACCCTAAGGTATGCATACCCGGACACTTAAGGAAACTTGGAAGGTGGCAAGGGAAAATCCTTTCGAGGAGAAGGCTAAACTCTCATGCAAGCCACTGGGGAAGTGCACAGTTGGCTTCTCAGAAGGTTGGTCCTGGCCACGCACAGCTGCCAGAAGCCAGATGGACGGGAAGGTAGCCAGGAACACGGTCAACACGTGGCTGCAAAGGGCCTGGATCAGAGGGGGACACACATATATACACAAGCACATGCTCACACCTGTAAACATACAAGGAGAAAGGTACATATGTACTTACATATACCATATACACACGTGTAAACAGACATAAACAGATGCACTCACATATACATACATGCACATTTGTAAACAGAGAGACACATGCCAATACACTCACAGACATACACAGATGCACTCACATATACACTCACACATGTGTACACACAAAGACAGGTGCATATCTACTCACATACACATACATGTGAAGCCACGCAGAGATATATGCATATACACTCATGCACATGTGTGCACACACGCAGCTTCATCTAGTGCTTATGAGCTGTTGTGTGCTGTTTTCAGTTTCTCAGAGTAAAGGACTTGTCTAGCTGGAATTGGCTGTATTTAAGCCCTGTTACATAGTGTGCACTTGTCTTAAATAGAATTCCTACTGATTCTTTGACCTTCTTAAATGTATAACTCCTCTGAATCAAATATAAATTTCTCCATCTCTGTTAGCTGGCTTTCAAATCTTTTCTTCTTTCTATATAAAATGTTTATCCTTCTTCGAGGAGTCTGGGATTTGTCTTACATTCAAGATCATTCCATAAGCAGAAGGTCCAGGCCCTCACCTCCTGTCCTGGCTGGAGGTTAAACACTGCAGGGCTCTTTACCACTTCCTTCCTGATTTGTGTCCAAGGCACCAGGCAGCCCTGCTCAGTCCACCCTTTGTCCCCGTGCCCTAGCTTTGGGCCACGGCAAGAGCTGACCTTTGGGGCAAAGTTGAACATGGGTCATGCAGACTGACCAGAAGACTTGATGCTGAAACCAAGCCTGGCATTTATCTTTGTCACTTGGGAAGTATGCTCTTTGCAGAGTCTTTAGTGAAGTCACTGGAGGAAGTGTTGAAACACAGCTCTATTCATGTGTGTCTCTAAGCAACTTTCATTAGCTCTGCAGCCAAAGGAGTGGACCTGCCAGGCTCACACAGACTCTTGCCAGAGCACAACGAAGCAGTAAAGAAAAACTATCAGTTAAAACCTCCTGGTGACCCTCTCAGCTCTCCTGCACGCTAGTGTCTCTCTCAGAAAGTCACTCTTCAGGCTTTTTCTTCAGGTGGACTGTGACTTGCAGAAGCCCACAGAAGTTCCTTTTAAAGTCCAAGAAGTTTTTGATGATGATAAGTCAGCATGTCCCAGGGTCTGCATCTGGTCAGGGGGAAAACAAGGGCAGCCATGGGCTGGACTCCAAGGGCCCTAGAAATGCTGGGTGGGCCAGAGGAGCCTCTTCTGTCGTTGGGGTGCTTGGTCTATGCCCACCTGTGTTGAAAGTTTGAGAATGAATTAGTGGGCCGTGATGGGTGAAACTTACATCCAGCCTCAGCACTAGAGTGGTTCTGCTGCTGTCTGGACAGGCATCCCACAGGACTGATCTCTCTAATTTCTTCTCTTGGGAAAACTCAGGGAGGCAGGAGGCCGGGCATGCCGGTGCCCACATCTGCTGTGAGCTCTCTCGGTCTCCAGGTCTCCTCCTCCTCTAGGCATCTCCTTCAGCTCTGTCACTCCAGGATGTGTTGTTTTTCTCTTCCATTGATTAATGCACAACTTTTGCCATCTTGCTACTCACGATCAATTTCCTTGGCAAATGGGTCTCTTCATACACATAATTTCCGCAAATTCTGAATCTCTGAGATTCAAACTAGTAATATTATGCTGTGTCACCTGAGAGGCTTAATTTTGACATCACCCCAATTAATAGCCAGGAAAGCTGATGTCGATGGATTCCAGTATCCATACAAACATTATGCACCCTCCAAAAACCATGAGCTAGCCTAAAACAGAGCCTTATGTTGAAAGGTGAAAAAAAAATGGCTTGTTGTGCAAACTCAGTATTTAGCAGCAAAATGTGATCTGAACTGACATAAAGCCACTGGTGTTTATTTATCCTGCTCAGTGTGATAAATAAGCATTTTCTGCAGGGGGTAAAAACAAAAAACATGAGCCAGGAGGCCAACCACTAACACAGGGAGGGCCCGTTACTTATTGGTGAGTGAAAACAGCAAGTTAGAAAACATAACAAATAGCATAATCCCAATTTTATCACTTAAAATTAAGAATAGATACATAGGCCAAGCTCGGTGGCTCAACCTGTAATACCAGCATTTTGGAAGGCCAAGGTGAGAGGACTGTCTAAGCCTACAGGTTTGAGACCAGCCCAGGCAACTTGGCGAGACCTTGTCTCTGCAATAAATTTTTTAAAAAATTAGCCAGGCATTGTAGCATGCACCTGTAGTTCCGGCTACTTGGAAGGCTAAGGCGGAAGGTTCGTCGGAGCCCAGTAGGTCAATGCTGGGGTGGCCATGAGCGTGCTACTGCACTCCAACCTGGGGTGAGACTCCAACTCAAAAAAAAAAAAGAATAGCTACATAGACTGACAGAATGGATAGACGAATAGATAGGATGGATAGATAGATAGATAGATAGATAGATAGATAGATAGATAGATAGATAGAGATATAGATGCTAGGATGGATGGATGGATGGATGGACAGACGGACGGACAGGATGGATGCTTAGAATGCATACGAGTGGAAGTGGTGCCTGGACTGAGTTGCTTTCTGGTTCTGTAGGATCATAGATAAATTTTAAAATATTCTTCTTTGAGATGCTGTGCATTTCCTACAACAATCATGTTATTTTGCCTCCAAAAAAATGATATTTAAAACATAGTAATGTGGCCGGGTTCAATGGTTCAGCCTGCAATCCCAGCGCTTTGGGAGGCCAAGGTGAGTGGATTGTCTGAGCCCATGGGTTCGAGACCCACCCAGGCAACTTGATGAGACCTCATCTCTACAATAAATCAAAAATCAGCCGGGCGTGGTAGCTCACGCCTATAGTTCCAGCTACTTGGAAGGCTGAGGCAGAAGGATCGCCAGAGCCCAGAAGGTCAAGGCTGTGGTGGGCGGGAGCATGCTAACTGCACTCCAGTCTGGGCGACAGAGTGAGACTCCAACTCAAAAAAAAAAAAACATAGTAATTGTGACCTTGAATAATAGGCACAGCTACCCTGTCTGGAGCCTATACCCCATGCTCATCTCTTCCCAAGATCTATTCACTTTCAGAATCTGCTGCCTCTCACATGTCAACAAGATTGAGCTCCTTCTCACTACTGATGAGGAATTGATTGTTTGCTCACATCAGCATCCTAGCAGCAAACCCACAGGCCTGTGGGATGAGACCCGGTGGTCTGGACAAGGCCTAGGATGCCCTGGGAGGCAGCGTTGGGCTTCCTGGTCCACTTGCAAGCCTCAAGGGTGTGTTTGGGTGCCCCTTCTCAGAAGACAGCCTGCGGCATTCATCAGCTTCCTCAAGAGGTCCACAGCACAGGAGACACTGATTCCCTAACTCCAAAGGGTATGGACTCATAGTGGTTGAACAAAACTTCGGATGTCCTATGTCTCCCAGTGGTAGCTCATCCAGATCAGCCATCAGCATGGCGAACACTGTGACTCCAGCCACCTGTGCTTTAGGCCCGGAGTGTTGGGCTACTCACCAATGGGTTAGAAGAGGAGCAGAGGTTTCCATGGCACAGAAGCAGAGCATCACGACCAGAGCCAAACATCACATCCTCCAGATCTCTTGTCCCTTTGGGCAGAAAGAGGCAATGTTCACCAGAAACTATGGCCCCGCTTGGCCCCTGACCCTGGAAATACCTAGAAAACCCACCCAGGAGGCTGATTTCAGCCGGGCTGCCCTGGCATTGGGAGAATGTTCCTGTGGACGTGCTCTCGGGAGCTCAGGCTTCCTTTGAGGTGGGAGGGAATTGTTAGAAACCAGCAAAGTCTCTGAGTTGCTTTGTATTTCCTTTGGAAATCATTCACGTTTTATTTTTAGCAGTTATTCGGAGCCAAGCTTGATGAAAAGGGGAATAGAGTAGCATCGTGGGAGTATCCTTTTGCATAAAAATGGAGGTGTGATTACGAAGCCACATCTTTTTCATTTCTTGCAAGCCAACTCTGACCTAGACGCCTTTGCACAGCGGTTAGCTCTGTAGTGCGGTTTCTGGACTGAACATTCAGTCTGCCGAGGGTGAACATTTTGAACGTTAATGTTCTCTGGGAGGCATGAGCTTCAGTTTGGTTTCTGATGGAAAATTGCTTCCTAGCTGTTGGGACACTTCTCTGCAATGGGACCCCAGGAATGTGATCAAGCCTGGGTTCTGCCATTCCTAACTCCCTGTTTATTTCTCACCTGTTCTGAGCCAGAGGTTTCTCCTGGTTAACTGCTCTGGCGGAACCTAAAATGAAAAACTGTTATCATAATGAGATCTTAATCCTTGCTGAGGAAGCCATGTCTTGAGCATGCCAATGCACTGGTACCACATTTGCTCCCTGTTGCTTTTCTTTTTGGAATAAAGACGTCTTTGTTCTCATCCTCGATCAGTGCTTAGGAGTATAGAGCAAGAAGTGGGGCCAGAGTTAAGATTTGGGGGTTGGGAGTAGGGAAGGGTTTCCATCCTCTGGAAACTGCACAGATGGATGCAGTGGCTCAAATTTGGCTTCAATATTAGAGTCAACTGGGGCTGAACTGGCAGGGGAGGGGCAAAACCTGAGGACCAGCAGTCGAGGCAGGAGGGGGAACCTCTGTCTTGAGCCGGTTTCCTTTCCGGGACCAGGAACCCTGGGGAGACCTCAATCCCCAGCCCTGCAAGGTCCTCCATGTTTGTCTATGGTAACCTTTTGCTGTCTCTTTGTCACCAGTGGAAGGATTGAAAGTGGTGGAGATTGAGAAATGCAAGAGTGACATTAAGAAGATGCGGGAGGAGCTGGCAGCCAGAAGCAACCGGTAAGATCTGCACCAGGGGAAACTGCGGGCAGCCAGGCCTAGGGACAGCTCCGTGTTGATGTCAGCCGAGAGCTGTGGGCATCTTTCCCCAAATAAAAGGCTGGTGTGATTCGGGGGCACTGTGCAGAGGCAGTATGCGGCTTGGGACCTGCTTTTCAGTGATGTGGCTTTCTTCTAATAAAAGAGCATCTATGGCAAATGAAGGCTGGGGGGATGCTTTCAAAGAAAAGAGAATCACCCTCCTGCAGATCCAAGCGTTAGTAGCCATCCATCCAACTGGAAAGACATCGACATCAATGTTTAGAAAGAGAACAAGAAGAATAAGGCATCTGGGAGTTGAGCCTCCCAGTGCCGCCAGGTACCATTCCCCATGTGATGTCCCCACAGCATAGACAGCCACCGGTGCAGTCCTGCAAGGACTACTGCCATCATGGACACAGAAGTCACATGCCCAGGAGCAGGCATTCCTCACAGGTGTTTTGGGGGGCAGTGAGCTGTCGTTTGGCAAAAAACGCTGCAGGTTCATTCTGCCTCTTTGAAGGTCCATTTTTTGCACAGCAGGTCCCCCTACTCCAGCGTGACCTCATCTTGACTAATTGCACCTGCTGTGACTCTGTCTCCAAATGAGGTCACATTCACAGGAGCAGGGTTAGGACTTCAATATATGACTTTTGGGGAGACACAGTTCAACACATAACATACCACATGGGGAAGACACCCTGACTTCAGAAGACACAGAGTAAGCTAGCCCTGGAGCTGAGAGATAACAGCCTCCAGGTGCTTTCAGGGCAAACTCAGTCTACGGGAACATTTGGGCTCATCTAAGTAGTGAGTGCATATTCACAACCCAGGAGTACAGTTTTAGAGCTCTCAGCATCACAAACCAAAGAGAAAGAGCCTTCCCAGGGCCCCGTCAGGCTTCCGGATGCAATGTTCTTAGCAGACAGCTCTGGCAGCAACCCACGTAGGTGAGAGACGGGTAAATGGAATGTTTCCATCCGAAATGGAACAGGATAAAATCTCAAGTGTCGCCTACACATTTAGAAAAAACAAATCCCGTATCCTGGGCTCTGGTCTCGTGCACAGCAAGGCCCCCACCCCAGACCCAGAGCCAGCATCCCTTTTCTCCTCCACACAAAAGCCCTTTCTTTTTCTTTATATAGGAAGAAACTCAGAATAGAGACAATATCTATTTGTGTTACCCCTTCTGTCCTTGTAGACAGTAGGGTTCCTTTTTTAATCATGCATGAGTGCCATGTGGCAGAGTGGGGTCCCCGGGACCAGGCTTGTTAGATGTGACTTTGCTTGGACTGCTGGGGAGAGAAAAATGCTCTCTAGAGCAGTCCCTTCTGGAGATAGCAGCCCAGCCAGGGGTCAGCATTCTTGCCTCCGGCGGAAGCCAAGAGAAAAATAAAGGCACCAGGCCGGTTGAGCCCAGCCCTGTACCAAATGGCCAGTGTGAGCCAGAAATGCGGGCCGACATTCATCCACCTTCACACAGGCACCCCAGCAGGGCTGGAGCAGAACAGTGGAAGCCTGCGGCCCACAGAACAGGCTGCCCTCTTCTGAGACTCACAAATGAGGTTGCTCATGGATTTTTACCCAAGAGGAAAGAGGCCCAACTTCCCGCTCACATGTAGGGCAGGTGTCCCTGGGGCCCATGGTCACTCTGACCCCCAGAACCGTGCCCAGCAGAATGTGTCAGTTCACTTGGGGATGAGAGGCTGTCAGGGCACAGAATTTCAACTGAGAACTCTGGGAGTCTGTGATCTCCACTTTTATCCCAAGTAAATGGCCTTGACCACTGGACTGAGCCCCAGGGAGTGGAGGATGGGGAATCCTAGGAAATGAAAGCAAAAATAAGCTCCAAATAGAATGAAAAGAACAGGCTCCATGCCAGCTGCTCTACTCGCTGTGGATGCTTGTTCCCATGGCAACAGGGCTCGGAGAGAGGGGGCTGCATGGCCAGGCAGGGTCAGCAGGCCCCAGTAGACCCTCATCAGCTCCCAGCACTGGGACCCTTGAGGAAACAGCTGGATTTCAGCAGTCAACACATCTTGCTTGGTGAGGACTTCCATGACCCTCCTGGGAAATGCAGAAGACTTGCAACATAAGTGTGAATGTTTATACAAAGGAGGTTAAAAGCAGGAAAAAAAAATGTTATTTATTTTCTTAACTGCACAGACAATGTCCGTTATTACTCAAAAATGTGTAAATGGGATTCCTCACTTAGGAGGTGACAATAGAAATCATTTGATTGGTATTTTTATTGGTTGGTTTTGTTATTGTTTTTGCTAAATCTGTTTTTGCTAGAATCCCCCCTTACACAGCAAACTGTCATGGCAACTCAAGATTTTTGCGAGCATGGAATCGAGGGAAGGGATCACAGACGAGTTTCAGTCATGTGGTGGCCAACACAAATTGTTAGCAGCATGCTAAGAATGTAACACGGTATACTCTTTCTTCAAAAAGGAAATAGATTTATTATTCTAAGTTTGAAAACAGCATAGATGTATTGTAAAACTTGCAGACTGTACCGATGGGGGTTGAGGGATGGTGACCAATAATGGTAACAGCTAGCAACACCCCCGATTTAATCTAGGCACAAAGTCGCCCAGATAGTTTTTTGGCTATAGAGATCTAATTTTGAAGCCAGGCTCGGTGGCTCAGCCTGTAATCCCGCACCTTTGGGAGGCTGAGGTGAGTGGATTGCCTGAGCCCGCGGGTTCGAGACCCGCCTGGGCAGCGAGACCTCATCTCCACAATAAATCAAAAAATCAGCCGGGCGTGGTAGCGCATGCCTGTAATTCTGGCCACTTGGAAGGCTGAGGTGGAAGGATCGCCGGAGCCCAGCAGGTTGAGGCTGCGGTGTCCGGGAGTGGCCACTGCACTCCAATCTGGGTGACAGAGTGAGACTCCAACTCAAAAAAAAAAAGATCTAATTTTGAGAAACAACTAAAAAGTTCTATTTTATCATCTTTTTTCACTTATGACATTGTAAAAAAATATGCATAGATTAAATTTTAACTAGCATACATTTTTTTAACCCACCAAACGTGTACTTTTTTCCACATAGCTTGGTAAATTTGTGGGCATTAACTTTCAATGCATACTGTACATAACATTTTTATTTTCCCTTTTCACCTAAAGTTCCCTTACTTCACAGGATATCTATGATTGTCTCCATCATGTTGATGCACCAAGGTGGTTTAAATTATTTTCCCCTTTGGGGACACACAGGTGGATTCTAGCCTGGTTTTATGTTTTTGTAACAACAGATCATGCTGTGACGAATCTCTGTGTGCACAGAGCTGTTTGCTTGTGTTTAATTCTTTTCTTAAGATAAATTCCCTGGAGTAGACGTGTGGGTTTGAAGGATGTGAATTTTTTCATGACGCTTACTATACGGTATTAAATCACCCTCACAGAAGATGGAATTTTATTTACAAATCACGTGAGCTTCTGCTACATACGACTGATTAAAGTGCTGGCCGTGCCAAGTTCCTCACACCACGAATCCTGCCCCCACTGCTCTACCTGGTGAACCTTACCATCCTGTGACTGAATGGGAGCATGTTCACTTCCAAGCAAGTTCACATCCCCAGGTGGTCCCTAGGTCTGCCAGCCCCCTGATGGACTTCCCTGCAGGTAGCCAAGGGCCGCCACTCTGCCTCATTAGAAGGTTGCTTTCTATCCAGAACACACACACCTGGCTCATTTTGTTCTGTTCCTGCATGGAATTCTTCGATATCCAATGGTGAACAAAAATGGGGTCAGATAGAAAATTCATCTGTCAACATTATATTAATGGAGGAAGTTGGAGGCATTCTACTAGCTCTGGGAAGCAATTAGGTGTCAAAAGCAAGTTGCTGCAGAGCAAATTTGGGCAATTCCACCCTTGCTTTTAGGTACAGGCATGGTTGGGGGCATTGGCGCATGTCTGTATTCCCAGTACTTTATGAGGCTGAGGCGTGCTTGAGCCCAGGAGTTTGAGACCAGCCTGGGCAATATAGCAAGAACTTGTCTCTTTAAAATAATAATAATAATTTTTTAAAATAAAAATACAGGTGGCTGCCCTTGTGTGTCTATGCCTAGGAATATTCTGGAAGGATACATTAAACAGATGTTATTTCCAAGGTGTGGGATTTAGGAGAAAGACATAGGTAAAGTGAGGACTTAGTTTTTTTTTTTTTTTTTTTTGCTTTATCTACTCCTGTGTTGTTTGGATTGTTTTGTTTTAGTTGTGTATTAGAAAAGGATTTTTTATAAGCTTATCTGAAAGTGAAGATAGCCCTAATCCTCTGACTTTCTGTGTGTTTTCCAAGAGCCCCGTATGACATCAGAGGTCCAGGCAGGGTCCCAGGGATCTCACAGCAAGCCTGTCACTGCCTTCCTGACTTGTTCTCCACAACAAATAAGACCAAATGGAAGTTGTGGAGTTTGGGGTATGGTTTGGATTTTGGTTTTGTGTTTGTTTTTGCTCTTATGAGGGCCCCACAGTCAAGTGTGCAGGTGAATGACCAGGCTGAAATAGCAGGGCCACAACTCATCTTTTCTTTTTCTTTTTAGGACCAACTGTCCCTGTAAGTACAGTTTTTTGGATAACAACAAGAAGTTGACCCCTCAGCGTGATGTCCCCACTTATCCCAAGGTAAGCTAAGATTCCGGCTCTGAAGAAACTCAAGCTCTGTGTCCACAGCCCCACACCCAGGCCCTATGGCCCCGTGGTCCCATGACTGGGCCCTGCTGTCTACACATTAACTAAAGCACACCCTACTCATCCCTGGGCTGTGGAAGGCTCAGGCTATTCTTAGCATGCTTTTTCTCTTTGATATTTATTTAGCAAAAGTGATCCCAGACCATACTCTACTCTGCAAAGAGATAATAGCTCCTTGCTGCTGTCTGCCTGGTCCCCATAACTGCCCTGACAAATGACTTTTGCACTCAGATGTTATTTTAGAGAACATCAAATTTCTTTTTTTTTTTTTTTTTTTGAGTTGGAGTCTCACTCTGTTGCCCAGACTAGAATGCAGTGGCATACTCACGGTCACCCCAGCGTTGACCTGTTGGGCTCCTGCGATCCTTCTACCTCAGCCTTCCAAGTAGCCGGAACTATAGGAGCATGCTACCAACCGGCTATTTTTTTTTAATTGTATAGATGAGATCTCACCGAGTTGCCCAGGCTGATCTCAAACTCGCAGGCTCAGGCCTCAAAAAAATGCTGGGATTACAGACTGAGCCATCAAGCCCGGCCAGAGAACGTCAATTTTTGACTAAATTTTTTTTTAATCCACTTCATTAGCTCTCCAGAATAACATGTATTCATTATGGCAAGTTTTGCTGTTTTGCACAAAAGTTTTCTGAGTTGTAAGAGATCCGGGCCCTTAGTAAAGTAGCAGTGCCCTGTTCTTCTTTTATAAGAAGACTCTCCTGAGGCTGGTCGGCATCTCAACCATGCCTTCAGCTGGTGAGGAAGCAAAATCCCGGCCCACATGATTTTGATTGTGCTTCTGTGCTAAGAATCAGGGGACACAGGACACACAGGACAGAAGGGGCTTGGGCTGAACACACTGGGTTCTGCCACTACTCTTGGTTGAGTGGTGTCCAAGAGCCTTCTGGAGCCTCCATGCGGGCCACCGGTGCCCACTAGTTCGTGGTTTTCTTCACTTGGTTCCAAACAGCACACTGAGTATTGTCTGAGGTCTTTGAGTGGAGACTAGTGCCTTTTTCCATAAGAAAATGTGACCCACATTTCTCAAAATCCCACCCCAGGGAGTCACGAGACATAGCCTAGATTCAAAATAAAAGGCGTCAGTTCTCTGTATCAGTTCTTTAAAAATAAAAATAAAAAAGCCTGGGCGCAGTGGCTCCCACCTGTAATCCCTGCATTTTGGGAGGCTGAGGCAGGAGGCTCTCTTGAGCCTAGGAGTTTGAGACCAGCCTGGCCCATATAGCGAGATCTCGTCACTACAAAAAGTCAAAAAAATTAGCCAGGCATAGTGGCACGCACCTGTAGTCCCACCTAGTTGGGAGGCTGAGGTGGAAGAATCACCTGAGCCAGGAGGTCAAAGCTGCAGTGAGCCATGTTCGTGCTGTGGCACTCCAGCCTGGGTGCCAGAGTGAGATTCTGACTCAAATAAAAAATTAAAATTAAAAATAGACAAAAAGATCTAGGAGAAGACTACATCTAATACCAAACGCTGTTCTTGTCTTAGGTCTAAAACCACAGCCTTCTGTGCCTTCTGACAGTTTATCCTAAAGAGTTTAGAGCCAGCTCCCTCCGCGGGCGAGCTGTTCTAATGCTCAACCAAAACCAGGGATGGGTTCCCGACCAGAAGAGCTCAAAATAGCTTCTCAGCCAGTATTTGAATTTATGCCAAGTGAATTTTTTCCCCCTGACTTCACTTTATTGTATTTTTATGTCAGGCTTGTTGAGATCTAATTTACATGCGTAAAGTTCCTCTTCTTTAGGTGCAGAGAACTGTGAATTTTGACAAACTTATTTAGTCATGGAATGACTATGAAATGACTATGGAACATTACCATCACTCCCAAGCACTCCCTCCTGCCCCTTTCGCTCTGCCCTGGCAATTGCTGATGGGAATTCCACCCCCAAAGTTTGCCCTTTCTAGAAGAATGCAGCCTGTGAGTTTGTACACAGGTGTATTTGAGAGGGAACAAGGAGAAAGAGGAGAAAATGCCCCCTATATACATTTGAGCTCACAGCCTTCATCTCTGCACAAGGGCCCATGGCGTCTGGTTAACACTGAACTCCTCCTGTCCTTTCTAGTACCTACTCTCTCCAGAGACCATAGAAGCCTTACGGAAGCCAACCTTCGACGTCTGGCTTTGGGAGCCCAATGAGGTGAGTGAGGGGCATCATGGTGTACCAGCATCCCCATAGAGTGGCAGTTCAGGATCATGGAACCCTGTGGGGACCATTCCTGTTGTTCTTCCTCCTCTATGCTCCTCCTGTCTGTCCTTCCTTGTAAGGAATGAAAAGGGCTCACACCTGTAATCCCTGTGCTTTGGGAGACTGAGCTGGGAGGATCACATGAGGCCAGGAGTTCGAAACTAGCCTGGGCAGCATAGAGAGAACCTGTCTCTACAAAAAAAAAAAAAAAAAATTGAAAAATTATCCAGATTTGGTGATGCATGCTTGTAATCTCAGCTACTCAGGAGACTGAAACAGGAGGATCACTTGAGTCCAGGAGATCAAGGTTGCAGCGAGCTATGATTGCACCACTACAGCAAGACTGTCAAATTTTTAAAAAAATTATGCTTCTCCAGGTTTTAGTTCAGACTGACACTCTAAAGGAGGGCCCAGGAGACAGATCTCAAGACAGGGGCATTCTGTGAGGAGAGGAGACAGCTGTGAGTTACAGGGGCCTTCAACCTCAGGCTCCTCCTAATGGTGCTGAGTCCCCCAGGCCATCTGCTGACCATGCAAACCCTCACGCAGGCCTGCCAGTGGCCAGCTGCTGTGACCACAGAGGAGCTCTACACATCCCAGAGCTTGGAGCAAATACTTCCTCAAGGAATGGGCTCCAGGTGGAATGTTCTGGTGCGAGAAAGTCGTTAACAGTCAAGGCTACAGGCGCAACCAGATTTGTGGAAATGTGGGGTTCAGGGAATTGTAAGTCACCTTTTGCAGCAAGTATTTCTTTAAAGTTTTCAGTTTGTGGCTGGGTGCAGTGTCTCACACCTATAAACCCAGCACCTTAAGAGGTGGAGGCAGGAGGATTGCCTGAACCCAGGGGTTTGAGATCAGCCTGAGCAACATGGCGGGAACTTGTCTCTACAGTAAAACAAAAATTAGCCAAGCATGGAGGCACGTTCCCGAAGTCCCAGTTACTCAGGAGGCTGGGGTGGAAGGATTGCCTGAATCCAGCAGGTCAAAGGCTGCAGTAGCCGTAGTTGTGCCACTGCACTCCAGCCTACACAACAGAATGAGACTCTGACTCAAAAAAGTTTTCTGTTTTTGGAGAAACACAAATATGAAGATTGATATTGGTTTAATCCCATGAGCTAATAATCCCAGTTAGACCCCTCTCTTTCCACATCCCAAGAAAGGAAAAGTTCCCCATCGAGGACATCAGGCCTTGCTACCCGCAGCCCACAAAAATCTAAGGACTCTTTCCAGCTTTTCAGCAGCATGGGAATGCAGAAGGTCCCCAGAAAGCTCGCCTAAGCTCTTTGACAAGATTGGCCACGACGAAGTCTTCACAAAGGGCAGGAAGGGGGATCCTGCCCTTATCATCCATGGGTCCTGGCTGCCAACATCTGGATGCTACACTCTCCTAAGCAAACCGCTCCCATGCATGTGATCTTCCAGCATGAGAAAAGCCTGGGCGGCACTGGCCAGGAAAGCAAAGATCTGACCTTCATGCCTCACCCAGGTTCACCAAGAAGAGTGGCCAGTGGTGGGTCCCAGGGGCCTCATGGCAGCATACCTGCTTGGAACGTTCAGCCACCACATAGGCGACTTTCTCCCCAGCCCTGAGAGTCCAGGACTGAGATGTGGAGACCACAGGAGAAGCAGGCTCCTAATGTGCAGCATGGCTGGTTGGGTCAGTGTGTGACTAGAAAGGGCCCCGGGCAGGGGAGACATCAAAGTGAGAGGGAGAGCTTGGAAGGAAGCATTGGAACAGCCAGCTTGCAGAAGCTCCCCCTGCTCAGGGCTGAGGCCATGCAGAACAGGTTCATAGCAAACAGACAGCAGGGTAGTTAGAACACGCAGTCTCCCAACTGGCAGGAAAACACCACATCTGGAGCATCATCTGGAAAAATCACTGGCTTCAAAGTCATGTTGACATCAGCCTACCAGGAGTAAAAGCCAAGTAGGGAGCCACTGATGACAAAACGCTTATGTGGAAACCAGCACTGGCTGTCGTTTCTGCCATCTTCCACCAGGAAAGCTTTGGAGCACAGGGCCACTGTGGCTGGGGAGATGGAGGCTGCCCCCCAAGGTTGGGGGGTTCACGTACCCATAATAGAGAGGCCACCTCTGCTTGTCCTCCAATCCACAGTGTATTCACAGCCACTGTCCAGGGCGGGCAGGTAAGGCAGCAACTTCGGGCAGCTGAACTCAGCCTCTGTGTGGCATCACCCATGGCCCATGGCCTCTGCCAAGTAGGTCTCAAAAGTACTCAGGAAGACTGGTGAGGGTTCCAGTGCTTCAGAGGAGCAACAAGCTGCCTGCTAGTGAGAGACCAGAGATGTCTTAGACAGGAGTGTCTGATGGATCTGGGGACACCAGGAATCTTAAGTGTGAGTGATACAGAGGAACAGCTAAAAGGACATGCTGGAGGACTTTGACAACTCACTTCGCCCGGAAAAACAGCAGCTGGACATCCACAAGGCAGCTGGCACCCAGGAACATCAGGACACTGATAGCAGCCACCTCTCTTCATTGCAGTGAGGACGACTCCGTGGCTCAGTTCAGCATCCTGCCCATCACAAGCCAGGCCGAGGACATGAGTTCCCAATGCTGTGTTCCTCTAATCCAGTAGGCCTGCCTCTGCTGAGCAGAGAGCCTAGAGGTTGCAGGAGTCTCCCAGTGTCTTATGAGTCCCCTCCACCCACTCACAATCACACAGCCCACTCAGACTGAGACCTGCCATGGCCTCCGGGAGCTGCTCATCTGGTCTCAGGGGCCGCCAACACAGCAACAGATGCATGTCCCTTTTGCTCCAAAGCCACCACATGGGCCACATGAGCAGCACCAGATGGTTCCATGTGCCAGTAGTCTTTGCCTCTTGACTGATTCTACAGCAGACATTTCAGCTTAGGGGCTGCCCTGAGCGGCATCTGAGCTAGTAGGGTGGGTGCGAAGGGGTCCGAGGCTGTAACACCTCTGGTCCTAAGGGCACTGGGGGGATCAGCAGCTCTGGATGAGGCCCCAGCTGGGTGATCCGGGCAGCCACTGACCAGAGACCTGGGAGCCAGCCCTACTGTCTTCATGCCAGCCCCAGATGCCTGCAGCCCTGTAAGGGGCTCCTGCAAGCACCACCATCTCCAAAACCTTGCACCCTGTACATTGTCTAATCTGCATCTGCACTGTCCCCAGAAGGAAGGCGTGTGTGTGGTTCACGTGCTTTCAGGACACTCCATGGGTGACATCCCAAGCTCCCATATGTGGCCACATGTGGAGGAGTTTCCAGTGTTCCAGATGGATGCTCCCTGATGCCACAGAATTATCCACTCCCTTCAGAGCCATCTCATCAATGCTGTGGTTATAGGATTGAATTTACCAAAATTCACCTCACTTGCAGTCTTCCTGAGTCTCGTGTAATGTGTAACAAGTAAAAATGGATTTTCGTATCCTGCCCTAGTTTGCTTGGGCTGCCATAACAGAGTGCCAGAGACAGTGGGCTTCAACAACAGAAGCTTCTTTCTCACAGTTCTGGAGGCTGAAGTCTGGATGGAGGTGCAGGCCAGTTTGGTCTCTCCTGGGGCCTCTGCCCTTGGCATGCAGATGGCCACCTTCTCGCTGTGTCCTCATGTGGCCTCCTCTCTCTGCACACGCATCCCTGGTTCTCTTCTTTTTTTTGGTCCACTGAGGTTTTTTTATTTGTACGTATGCATTACATCCCTAGAAAAAGAATCCCAAGATTTTCCCTCCTGTGCGTTTCCTTCTTGCTTCTTCGCGGTCCATGATGCCAGCTGAGGTTGTCAGTACAATGAAGCCAAATTGGCGGGATGGAAGCAGATTATTCGGCCACTTTTCTAGATCTTTGGGTTGCACATCAAATCTGGGGCTGATCACGCCACATTTGTTCAACCTGCCTGTGAGGTTCACAACAATTTTTCCAGCTCTGTGATCATCAATGATTTCAAATTCACCAATGTAACCATGCTTCATCATCACAGTTAGAAACCAGACGATGACTTTGGAGCATGGCCCGATAAGAACCTGGCATTTGCCAGTCTTTTCGGCATTGTTGATGCGAGCATCAACCAGGACATTCATGTGCACCATGGTAGCATGGAAAGATGGCGGAAAGAGTTGGTTCTCTTCTTATAAAGACACTAGTCCCAAGGATCAGGGTCCCACCTCTATGCCCACATGTAACCTTCATCACCTTCTTAAAGTACTTATCTCTGAATACAACCCCACTGGGGCTAGGGCTTCAACATATTGATTTGGGGAGGCACTATTCAACCCATAACACACCCTTTGGGGAAAAGAAGGTCACTCAGTGAACAGAGACAGGTGTCAGCCAAATGGCAGATGGAGGTGGGGACAGGTGTGTGGCACTGGGTGGCCCTGGGTGGCAGATGGTGTGTGGCACTGGGTGTGTGGCACTGGGTGGCAGATGGAGGTGGGGACAGGTGTGTGGCACTGGGTGGAGGACGCCTTCCAGAGAATGTCAAAACTGTCCCATTCTGCAGATCTTCCCTCTCCCTGTTCTCTCCATCTCAGACCTGCTTTTCCCAGAAAGAAAAGCCCACTTTTGTGAAACTGTCTTTTTTAAGAATCATTTCATCTTTTCCTCCCTCACGTAACTCATTCCAAAGCACTGAGCTATATTTGAATAGATCACAACAATGACAATAAATCCTCTTTGGTACTAAAACCAAAATCTGTTTCAACTTGAAAAGGGTTACCTATAGAAGCCAGAGTTCAGGGAAAGCAGACTTAAGAGAAGTGGCCCCCAGGGCAGAGGTTTACCTTCCGGGCATGACAGTTGAAGGCGTTTAAAGGTGTCTGCAGTCCCAGTGGGGCCCCAGGGGGCCTAATTCAGCATTTTTTAGATGAAAATCATCAAAGTTCCTTTGGTCCCCCAGCCTCAAGCAAGTAAAGGTCCTTTCTCCCCACAAAGACAGCCCATTCTCAAGTGTGCGCTGGAAATAGCCATGGCCTACCGCCTTGAGCTGCAATCCACTGAGATTGTTTTTCATGTGTCGAAATATTTTAAAACTTTCTTAGTGTGGTCATTTGGGAGTAGGGGGCACCCAGTCACCATCTCTTCTTGTGTGGAATTCTCATCAGCTTCTGGATTGGCTCCTCCACCCCCAGGAGACCCCCACCATTCAGAGTGGTCTCGAAAGACCCATGAGCAAGGCCTCTCCTCCCCCATCTTGCTAGACGGGCTCTGCGCTCCGATGACACCCCTCGTGGTATTATTCCCTGGACAGTGGAGGAATGCAAGAGGTTGGGAAGCTGGCCCATCTGCTTCTCTGTGACCACCATTCCCCTGTGCCCACAGATGCTGAGCTGCTTGGAGCACATGTACCATGACCTCGGCCTGGTCAGAGACTTCAGCATCAACCCCATCACGCTCAAGAGGTGGCTGGTAAGTGTCAAGCCCATTGTTGTCCTTCTTGGACACGTCATTTCATCAAGTTACATAGGAGTGGACGGTCAGGGCACCTTCCTGATGGCACCAGGCTCTGTGAAGAGAGGCCACGTTTCCATGGAAGTTCTGTGAGGACACCTGGCCAATCTCTGTTTGTTCTTCCACCAAAGCACTCTTTATCTCCTCAGCTCCTGCTCTGATTAGCAAGAACATAATAAGAATCTATTATTAAGTAAAGCAATATGTTCTAAAGCAGTGGCATGTGGGAGTGTGTGTCTGTGAGTGTGTGTGTGTGTGTGTGTGCGTGTGTGTGTTTAGCAGCAGTTTTTTTATTTTTATTTTTTTGAGTCGAGGTCTCACTCTGTCACTCAGGCTGGAGTGCAGTGACACGATCATGGCTCATTGTAGCTTCGGCCTCCTGGGCTCAGGTGATCCTTCCATTTCAGCCTCTTGAGTAGCCGGGATGACAGGTGCATGCCACCAACCTGACGCATTTATTTATTTATTTATTTGTAGAGATGGGGTCTCACTATGCTGCCCAGGCTTGTCTTGAATTCCTGGGCTCAAGCAATCCTCCCACCTCAGCCTCTCAAAGTGCTGGGACTACAGGCATGACCCACCGCACCTAGCTAGCAGAGATTTTTTAAATATATGTATATCACTCAGAACCAAATATTAAAACTTCCATGGAAACGTGGCCTCTCTTCACAGAGCCTGGTGCTTGGGGTCCTAGACACTCCTCATGAAATCTCTCCTGCCCCCCCCATTTTAAACCCCAGTATGGCTTATCAGATACCTCCGAGACACCTCAGTCCATGACCCCTGGGTGAAAACCTGGTGGGAGCACTGTCCCCACACCTGCCCCAGGTACCTTGCTATGGCCGTTGGATGTTTCTGTGCCCACTAGTCCACCTGGTCCACACCTGTGCTAAACACAGGACCACTGTGGGACTCTGGTGGACAAGAGTTTGGCAGAGAACACTAGAACCAGCTAGCACCCTTCTAGCCAGTTTTGGAGGAAAGGTGGGTGGGTCCGGGACACAGGGCAGCTCAGACTCTCTGCTTCTCCTGCAGCTGTGTGTGCATGACAACTACAGAAACAACCCTTTCCATAACTTCCGGCACTGCTTCTGTGTGACCCAGATGATGTACAGCATGGTCTGGCTCTGCAGTCTCCAGGTGTGTCCTGCCTACCATCATCTAGACCTTGACTTTGGGAGTGGGGGATTCTTTCCAGGGAGTGGCTGCCCAGTCACACCTAGAGAGTGACAGACATGAGGTCCCCAGCTGCTCCACTCCTCCTGGGGTAACACCCCCTCCTGTGGCTGTCAGTCACTCCAGTGGTATAATTCTAGGAGTCTGTTCCTAGAATTACAGGAGCAAATGTATCCCCACCTGCTCCCCCCACCCCAAAGCACAGGCCCTCTCCCACCAGCCCAAGGGGTTCCTGATGGCTAAAGAGGGCTTCATCCCACCTGCATCACTCACCCTGTTTCAACCCCATCCCACCCTCAGAGTGAAGAGGGCGAAAACCTAAACTCTGTGTTCCAATCCAGGAGAAGTTTTCCCAAATGGATATCTTGGTCCTGATGACAGCGGCCATCTGCCACGATCTGGATCATCCCGGATACAACAACACGTATGCACAGGATTTTTTTCTGGGGCCCTGGGCTTCCCTGAGCAGGAGCCTTCAGGGATATCAAACCTTTGGGGGACTGCCACATTCCTGTTCCATCCTGGCTCCAGGTTCAGCACATACCAGCTGAGTCCTGGTTATGGGAGAAGAGAGGTCCTGGCAATGTCAGCATCTCCTCTACCCCAGGCAGAGGGCGACACCCACCAGGCACAGGGGCATCGACTCTACATGCACTTCTCGGGAGCTGGCTCCTTCCTGGGCAGCCTCCCAGCCTTCCTTAAGGCCAAGGCAGAGGGCAGGGGCCAGTTAAAGTGAGAAGGAGCTGCAGAGGAACAGGAGGTGAGGGGGGTCCATCATGGGGCCGCCAGGTCAAGCTCTGAAGGGGCGTCACTCACTCCTGCCCCTGTAGGCACAGACTTCCTCCCACGTGCCTAATGAAGTCCAGGCCACATGCACTGGTTTGCATTCACAGTGATGCATCAGTTCTTTCTAAGTCCCCTACATATGAACAAGTTCTGTTCTGAGCACGTGTTTGTAAGTCTAATTTGTTCAAAAGTCCAACAAAGTGAGTCTAGGTACCCAGCTAACACAATCAGCTATACAGTATCTGCTACATCACTGCTGCTTTTACACTTGCTTCTGGACAACCAGGCTTGAAATAAAGATACTGTACTACTGTGCTTCATACAGTCCTGTACAGTAAAGTACGGAAAAGCACAACCTCTTGCAAAGGTTGCATGCACATGTCAATGTACACCCGACATATGAACTAACTGACATGATTGGGCATGTGAACACATGTTTGCATCTTTGAAAGTTCACAACTTGAAGGTTTGTATGTAGGGAACTTACTGTATTGAATTTGAGTGTATTTTTGCAATGACATCAGATGTTCCTGAGAGCTTTGCCCCCGTGTGCCAGAGCCAAGCAGATTCTGAGGTGTGGCCTCCCCCAAGGAGGCAATCACCATGCATATTCATCTGTTCCCTTTCTGCTAGTTTCACACTCACAACCCCAGGGATGACAGACCCGCAGAAAGACCTTGACCACAGAGCATCTGACACAAAAAGACAGCCTGGCGCTGCCTCCAAATGTCTGCCTTTGGCACGTATTGAAACTTGACAATCTTTGCAAGAGGCCATGATGCCTTCAGGGCATTGACTCAGGGAAGTTCTGGGCTCCTCTGTAGTGTCTATCTAGTAGGACTATACAATGTGGGATGTCCAGTTGTGCAGGGTAGCAGAGAGTTGGTAGAGTTGGCAGTAGTGAACTCCTGATATGGGCAGGCCACAGTTAGCTTCCCCAACCCCCACTCCCCCAGTGCTTTCTCCTAGCCTCTGCCAAGGCCTCCTATGCCCCCGGGTGTTGCTCTCTGCTGAGCAGATGCCCAGTACAGGCACCTGAGCCTCCCCTGCTCTCCCCTCACCTCCCAGGTACCAGATCAATGCCCGCACGGAACTGGCAGTTCGTTACAACGACATCTCGCCACTGGAGAACCACCACTGCGCCGTGGCCTTCCAGATCCTCACTCAGCCCGAGTGCAACATCTTCTCCAACGTGCCTCCAGATGGCTTCAAGCAGATCCGACAGGTGTGCAGGGCAAGGGCCCTCCAAGGGATGGGGAAGGTTCGTGATGGGAGACAGAGTAGACTCTACTCTCCCGTAGCTGGAGGTGCCCGAAGCTCCCACCGGAGACTCTGAGGAACCTGCCCTCTTTCCTCACCTCTTCCAGGGCCCAGATGGAGCCCCAAGAACAGAGTGCTCATGCCATGCACACAGGTATTCACTGACCTGTACTTTCCAGCCACTGTGTAATTCAACCTTCATCAGCTTCCTTTGAGAGAAGTCATTTATCTATTTTTCAGCCCAGAAGACAAAGGCTTAGAGAGGCTAGATAACTCACTCAAAAGGAGAACAGGTCCTAGGGAGACACATCTGCTACATCCAACCTAGTAGAGCTGACCACTGCCCCATAACCCCAGCTGCTGTCACCTGCTCCCCATGGCCTGGCAGCTACTCCCCCTTCAGATAAGGGACCTTTCTGCCTCTCAGGCATGATGGGAGGAGAGTGGGAGGGTACTTGCACGAGAGGAACATTAATCAGCCCAGCAGTCACCTGCCCAGCTCACAAAAATAACACCCCTCTACACAGAGGAGGTCCCCATTGAACCATAACTTGGTCCTCCACCCTCTGACATTTTTGCAGGGGAGGGAAGGTCTCAGAACAACCTCTGAAAGAAGTATAGTGGGTTGATTTGGAATTGTAGCCCCCCCCAAAAAAAGATATGTCCACCTTCTATGGATACGATTTTATTTGGAAAAAGGGTCTTTGAATCTGTACTTAAGATCTCCAGATAAGATCAGCATGGATTGGGCCCTAATCCAATAAGTGTCCTTGTAAGAGACAGAAGGGGAGAAGACACAGACACAGAGGAGAAGACCATGTGAAGATGGAGTGATTGGATATTGGAGCAACATGGTCACAAGCCAAGGGACGCCTTGAGCCACCAGGAGCTGGGAGGGACAAGGAAGGATCCCCCTGGAGTCTTTTGAGGGATCATGGTTCTACCCACAACTTGATGCTAGACTCTGGCCTCCAGAACTGTGGAAAAGGAATTTCTTTTGCTTTAAGCTGCCCAGTCTGTAGTACTTTGCATGGTAGCCCCAGGATACTGACACAGGGCACCGTCTCCAATCTCTCTGAGGAGCCATCTTCAGCTATTTCACAGATGCAAACCTCACTCACTCTGTGTAAATGGCCTTTCTTCATGATGCAATGGATAAAACCTCTCTGGAATCCAGCTCTGGGAAATCGCTCATCTCTCTCCTGCAGAGCCAAGAAGCTTGCCTTTATCAGAGAGCACCAGCCTCATAAACCATTGTTTCCCGATTTGTCTATGCTTCTAGGAAGTTCAAAGCGAAATGGGGTGCTTATTACAGTCACCACTGAATCACTGATTCCTGGTACAATTATCTCCCCTTTATTTATAGCCTTCTGGCTACCCTCCCATGTTTATGGTTCCCTGACAAGCATGTGCTGTATGTTGTGATAAGCTGTAGCAAGTCTTCCTCAGCAGTAGGTCAAGAGAAGCCATGAAGAGAGAATGCCGCCCAATGGGTGCATAGTGGGGAGCTCCTCCAGAAATAGAAATAGGACCTGGGGAATCAAAGCAAGTGAACATCCCCTTAGCATAGGGCCCACCCCGGTGGGGCGTGTCAGAGCAGCATCCCAAAAGAGAAGTGGGCACCTGACCAGAGAATCCACCACCCTATAGATGGGATCGTTCTCATACCAGCCACATAAGAGTTATCCTGTTTCAAATGCTTAACTGACTTTAAAATCAGACTTTCTTCTGGGGGTAAAATTAGTTTAAAGCTTAAAATTTTTTTAAATGTCATTGAAGATTTGAGGGATAACTGAAGAAAGCATTCACTAATAACACAATTAAATCTTTACAGAAAAATAGCTCAAAATGAAAGTGATGGCCTCCCAAAAAAATAGATTTTAGATCACTAACATGGATTGATTTAGGTTTTGTATTTTATGCTTGTGGTTTTATTTTCTTAGTAAAGGAGAACACCATACCTGGCACAGAGATGTCTTCTGTAAATGTGGAATGGATGAATGGATGGATAGATGGATGGGTGGATGCATGGATGTGTGGATTGTGGATACATGGACAAGTGGATGGATGGATGGTTGGATGGGTGGATGGATGGATGCATGCATGCATGGACAAGTAAATGGATGATGGATGCATGCATAGATGCATGAACAAGTGGATAGGTGGAAGGATGGATGCATGTATGTATAGATAGATGGATTCATGGGTGGACGAACAGATGGACAGATGGATGGATGGATGGATGGATGGATAAGTGAATGCATATTAAGTGGATGGATGGATGAATGGATGGATAAGTGAGTGCATGTTCAAGTAGATGGATGGATGGATGGATGGACGGATGGATGGGTAGATGGATGCATTGATGGATGGATTCATGGACAATGGATGTGTGCATAGAGTCATCATGAGAACTAAATGAAAATATGTGTCCAGAGGACTGAGTACACAGTAGGTGCCTATTGAATAATTGTTGGGATTATGCCTTGTGTTAACACTTTGTTCTTTCACTATTCAGGGAATTATCACACTAATCTTGGCCACTGACATGGCAAGGCATGCAGAAATTATGGATTCTTTCAAAGAAAAAATGGAGAGTTTTGACTACAGCAACGAGGAGCACATGACCCTGGTGAGTAGACCTGTACTGCCCCTAGTGGGTCTGGCTAAGTGGGTCACACCATCCAGCTCACACTGGAAACCAAGAAGCCAAAGTTTTTAGCCTTGCCTTGGAACAAAGTGTCTATAAATCTGGTTTACAAAGTTACAACTCACTAGAAAATCCCCTGGGCAAGGCCTCCCATCCTGAAGGAGCCTCTCACATGGTTAGATGGCAGCACACTCCGTTTCCTCCTTCTCTTTTGAATTTAAAGGAGATAAATGAATGAAGGCGATGTGTCATGCTCTGGTTTCCTGGGAATAAAGTTGACTCTCCAGAAGGGTATAGCCCCAGCACGGCATACTGAGAACCCACCTCTAGGAGGTCAACTCCTACCCAGCTGGACGCCTATGCTCTATGACTCAGCACCCCTCCACCTGGCCTGCAGCACAGCTGGGAGCCCCTCTGTAAGCAGGGTGACCAGAGAAGGGGCGGCGCTTCACCAGTGAGGAGTGTGTGCCAGGTTTGCCCAGTGTCTGCTCTTCATAAAGAGAAAAATGCAGCCGGGCTTGGTGGCTCAGCCTGTAATCCCAGCACTTTGGGAGGCTGAGACGAGAGGATTGCCTGAGCCCACGGGTTCGAGACCAGGCTGGGCCACTTGGCAAGACCTTGTCTCTACAATAAATCAAAAATTAGCTGGGCATGGTAGTGTGCACATGGATTTCCAGCTACTTGGAAGGCTGAAGTGGAAGGATCGCCGGAGTCCAGCAGGTTGACGCTGGGGTGGCCATGAGAGCACTTCAGCCTGGGCGACAGAGTGAGATTCCAACTCAAAAAAAAAAGAGAGAGAAATGTGTGAAAACTCCCCCTCCCAGCCTTCAAAGAGAAAGTGAATTATGTGGAGTCTCATCTAAGCATTTAGAATGCTTCTGGCATTCTCACTTTTAAAATGAATTGTCTTGTTTAAAATTAATAAACATCACTACACCTCCAGCGTGGTTGATTAACAGGAAGCTCCTTGTAGATCAGACTTCAGTTCTAACCGTCCAGTGCCAGGAGGACAAGGCTTTAGGGATTATGGTTTAAGTCCCCTACATATGAATGAGTTCCATTCCAAGAGCATGTTCATAAGCCCAATTTGTTCATTAAGTCCAACAAAGTTAGACTAGGTACCCAATTAACACAGTTGTCTATACATACCAGCTACATCACCACTGCTTTTACGCTTGCTTCCAGATATCCTGGGCTTGAAATAAAAATATTGTACTACTGTACTTTATACAGTCTTGTACAGTAAAGTACACAATAGCAGAGCCACTTTGTTTAGGGTGCACTCACGTGTCAATGTACACCAGACATGTGAACTAACCTATGTGATTGGACATGCAAACACACATTTGCATCTTTGGAAGTCTGCAACTTGAAGGTTCTTATGTGGGGGACTTACTGTACTTGGTCTGTGGAGTTGAAGGGCAGTTCATTCCCAAAGTCTGCATGAAAGGAAGGATCTCACCATTGCCTTGCTAGACTCCGGTGTGGCCGTGCTTCCTGGCTTTGGACTCCTCCCCCACCTTGGAGAGGTGAATCTTCTCTCTCTCTTCTCTTTCTCTGATTTACTTTTGAATAAACTATATTTTGAATCTAAAAAAAAAAAGAAAGGAAGGATCTCTTGTTGTCCATAACTGGATGGTGGGAGAGTGTGTCCCCAGGCCAAGGCCTCCTGTAGTCCCTTCCCTGAGAGGGAACTAGGAAGTGATGCATCTAGTCAGTTCCTGTAAAGCAAGCTTCTTGCTCACCAAACACCGAAGGCATGTAGGAGGCACCACACTGTCCTTCATGACGTGAGGGAGGGCAAGAGGAATGGACACAAATAAGTCTAGAGGTATGACCCCTCTGAGGTGTGGGGAGAGGCCAGAGAAGGGGTGGGGACACAGGAGACCAAGAGTCAGGTGCCAGGTGTGAGGATGTCCATCAGGACAACAAGCCCAGCTGCAAGTCCATCTCAAGCCTTACTCACCTGCTGCAGCTGCACAGGCCAGAAGCAAACTGAGGCATGGTGCCCAGGGTTCAATTTTATCCCAACAGACCAGCACTAGGCCAGGTCAGACAACAAGCAGTACAGATTGAGGCATCTGTCTCTTTATGGACCCAGGGAACTGGGGGCAGAAGTGAGGGAACAACTGGGAGGGGGATCTTTCTGGGTTTAAGTGGGGCCCCAGCAAGGAGGTCTTCGAGTGGAGGGCAGGGCTGAGCATGGGATGTGTGTGAGGCGTGTATGGCCTGCAGGACCTGCAGCCTTGACCCCCCAGGGACCGCACCTCCCTAGCCCTGTGCTAGGTCTGTCTGGGGGTGGGAGGTTGCAGTTCCCCCCAAGGTCTGCCAGGTGGAGGCTTGTAATTGCCTCCAGTCTGGAGCCAGACTCATCACAGAGGAGACTCTCTGGGACCAATAAGGAAGGGCAGGGGGTACAATGGGCAGCCAAGTCCCTTTGAGGTTACATTGAGCTTGGAAAGCAAAATCTGTCTCACCTTGTGCTGACGTGGATCTGAACCGAGCTGTCCTTCACCAAGTCACATTCCCTAAACCGGCAGAGGAAGGGCCCCAGGCTCGGGGCCAAGTGTCACAGCTAGACTTTCATGTCTAATCAGCCTCAGACCCTGAAAGGGAGCCAATACTTTGATCCTCAAAGCTGGCCATTCCAGGTGATAGTCATTTGTGCCTGGCACAAGGCAAGGTCACAGGATGCCAGCCCTCCACAGCGTGTGTCTTGAAAGTCCAGTGGAGATGCTTTGGCTAAACCCTTTGGCCTGCCCTGTCTCTTTCTAAAGCGCCATTATGTGCCAAACCTTGCCAGGTTCAGAGGGAGTGCCTGGTCTCCTGGGAAAATGAAAAATGTCCCCATCTGGGGGATAACTGCAAACAGGTTGGGGCTGGGCATGGGGCAGTCCTGTGAGGGACGTCATCTGGCCTGGGGTGGCCAGGAAAGCTGGAGAAGGAGACCGGGACAGGACCTTGAAGGTTCACACTGCATTGAAGGAAGGGGGCACATCCACCCTCGAGGGAACAAAGCCCAGCTACCCCTCAGCCTCCATCTCCTCCTACCTGTAATGGCAAGTCCAGACCCAGAGAGCAACAGCAGGCTATGTTATATCTTCCATCACCTAAATTCCAAAATCTCTGCTTTCAGCTGAAGATGATTTTGATAAAATGCTGTGATATTTCCAATGAGGTCCGTCCGATGGAAGTTGCAGAACCTTGGGTGGACTGTTTATTAGAAGAATATTTTATGCAGGTAAGAGTCTAGCAAAGCAATCAAGCCCCGGTTGCTCTTACTAGCCCACTTAACAAGGGTGGTGTTTGGGAGAGCATGCCAGGGTGGACCAACATGTTCACTTGGTGGCTGGTGGCTTCACCAGGCTCCAGGAAACCTTCATGGCGAGCGTTCATCAGGAACAAAATAGGTTGTCATTTGAGACCTGAAAGACAGTGAAAGCCCAGACAAGCTAATGTTGTAAAACTGCCGCCTCTCACCACTAATTGAGCAACTATTATGGGAGGACTTGTCAAGCAAATTGCCTAGAAGTCAAGAAGCAAGAATTGCACCCAGGAGTGGGTGACACCCAGCAGGTCAGCTTACAAGGAGGGGTTGGAGAAAGGAAGATCGGGGACATGAAAAACCAAGACAGCCAAAAATAAAAAACATGCAAAGCACAGGAAGCTTTTAAATGCAAGGGCTTCACCAGCCCTAGGACACAAGAGGGGCTCTGCAGCCTGCCTCAGCTGCTGCGATGTCCTGTGATATGCTGAATGAATCACGGCCTCTCCCTATACCTGGTCCTCACAGCTCCCACCTGCATACCCAGCAAAGGCTCTTTTTAGCACTTAAGATACTGCAAGCTCTTCCTTGTTCTTATGGATACACATTTGAGGCACAGTTTGTTTGGCTGTTGGTTAATGAGCTTGTTTTGTTCTTTCTCTAAGAACAGTGATCCAGATTCCGGGGGCATTTCTGTCTTTAATGTCGCTGTCTACCGCATTCCCTGCAGAGTGACCGCGAGAAGTCGGAAGGCCTTCCGGTGGCCCCATTCATGGACCGAGACAAAGTGACCAAAGCTACAGCCCAAATCGGGTTCATCAAGTTTGTCCTGATCCCAATGTTCGAAACAGTGACCAAGGTGGGTGTCCCCTCACGCTGATGGTGTAACAGTGAGAATATGCACATGCTCACACACGCAGTCACATGCAAGCCCTGAGAAGCCTCTTCACCTGGCTGTCATGGTGACTGTGGCTCCTGCCCCATCCAGAGCCTGCTCCCTGCCGCCTGCCCTTGACCCCAGCATCATTCCTCTCCCTGTGAGCTGAGCTCTCTGCCACACCTTGCTGGGCCCTCAGAGCCCCCTCCTGGGCTTCATCCAGCACTGCTGACCTTCAGAATCCAGTAGGCAGCACCAACTCTTTCTTTGACTCTCTGGTCCCTCCCTCCCCATCCCCAGCCATCAGACCGCATCCTTACCCCTGGAGGAACCAGCTGGGTCGGCGTCCCAGTCTTCACCCTACCCTACCCCTGAGTCCTTACTGGCCAGAGCTGCAGGTGGCCACCTGCTGAGGCTCCCAGCTCAGGTCCCCTCAGCATGTCTAAAGCAGACTCAGCTGTCGCCTCCCCATCTGCCCCACCAAGCAGTGACTGGGGCCGAGGCTGCCAGGTCTCCTGCTTTTCCCTCTTGCAGCTCCATGTGCTGCAGATCCTTGGAACTGCCCCATGCCCTTCCCACTCCCAGGACTCCCAGCCAGGCGGCTGTTGTCAGGTCCTCTGCCCACATCTTGGGAAGGACCTCCCAGCCTGTCCCCAGCCCTATCTCACAGGGATGGGAGACATGGGAGTAGGGAGGAGTAGACTTTTCATAGGGCCGCAGGAGGAGGCACTGGGGGCACAAAGCAGAGCAGGAATATGGAAGGGGCAGAGAAGTGCTGGCATGAGGGTGTCCAGGCAGCAGGAATGACCCAGTGGCTTCCACACAGGAGACCTGATGCCCGTTTTTCTCACTTGTTTTCTGCTGCCTTAAGAACAAAGGGCTGGCCAGGCAAGGTGGTCTGTAATCCCAGCACTTTGGGAGGCCGAGGCAGGAGGATTGCTTAAACCCAGGAATTCAAGACCAGCTTGGGCAACATAGCGAGATTTCATCTCTACAAAAATCTTTTCAAAAAATATTAGTTGAGTATGGTGGCACAGGTCTGTAGTCCCAGCTACTCTGGAGGCTGTGGTGGAAGGATCATCTGAGCCCAGGAGGTTGAGGCTGTGGTGAGCCGTGATCATTCCACTGCACTCCAGCCTGGGCATCAGAGTGAGACCCTGACTCCAACAAACAAACAAACAAACAAAAAGAACGAAAGGCCATTTGAACAAGTCCATTTGTTCCCTGCAGCTCTTCCCTGTGGTTGAGGAAAGCATGCTGCAGCCCCTATGGGAATCTAGAGACCGTTACGAGGAGCTGAAGCGGACAGATGATGCCATGAAAGAGGTAACATGATGTGTTAGAGTTAGCCTTCCTCGTGGCGAATGGGTGGAGCAGGCCAGCTCTCTTTCACACTCCTGACTCCAGAATCCTGAACACACCAAACCGGGCACATGGAAGGTGGCCCTATAGACAGGAGCACATGCCCATCCTGCCAGAAAGCGGGACTCAATAAAATTAGGGAGTCTGTACATGGGGTGAAACCAAACTGCAGGTGCCTAGGAAAGTGCACCAGGGCTCTGCGCTCTTTTGGGGGGCTTACTGGCCACACCCTCACAAGAATCACACCTGGCCCCTGCTCCATGCAGGTCCCCCCCCTCCTGGCCCCTGGGCCAACTTGTTCAGAGGAGGGCATGGGGTGGAAAGGGATGGCACCCTTGGCACAGGGGCAAAGGGACCACCCACATGGCTGCTCCCCAGCCCAGAACACACAGAGTCAGCTTGCCACCTCTCAGGGGTTAAGGAGCCTGGGTCTGACTCTAGGTTGGGTTAATTCTGATTTACAGGAAAGGATCAAGGTCACAGGCTCAGCGCCTCCTGGCCTGAAGTCCAGCTGCCCACAGTGTGCCATCTCTCCCCATCCACCCTCCCGTCCTCCTCTCTCCAGTGTCCCAACGAAGCTACTTACGCAGGCTTTGACCTATTCTGCCCTCGGTAAAAGAGGGAGCCTGAAATGCCCTCTCTATGCCACTTAAACACGCTTCAAGGCTGCTTTGGTCAGGCTCTCCTAGTTACTGCGTAGTCCTACCCCGCTTTTCTGCATGACCACTCCTGAATCCCCTTTGGCCTAGGACACCCCACTGAGCCCTGAGCTGTTTGCCAGACATGTCCTTGTATAGGTTTCATCCCCTTCAACTAATAATACCCTGCATGTTGTGCATACACCTACCTTGGGCAAATGCCAGGCATACTGTAGGTGCTCAACAATCACTCACGAGTTGGTTGAAAACCCAGACCAGCAGTCCTGATTTCTCTAGTTGGATTTTGTTTTTACAAGAACACAGAGAACACTCCGAAATTCCAGAAGGCTAGGAGCAGAACAGACAGAAATGGGCATAGCAAGCGTCCCCTGGTCCAGACCCCCAACAGGAGAGCTGAAGAGGCTTCTGCCTCTCCTGGGCCACCAGTGAACCATTGCTGTGGGGTACTTGTGTCTCCAAGTCCTGAGTCCTGCTGCCCGATGGGGGACTCCAGGGCCCTCCAAGACATCTTCCTGCCCCCAGACACACAAAAGAGGTATAAGGGAGCCTGAGCTGTGGCTCCACACCACCAGCAGTCCTGTGGCTGGGGGAGCTGCAGTCAGGCGATCTCACTGCCCAGGTTGTGACCTCACTCCCAAGCCCCAGACAAGGCCCCGAGGTGAGGCCTCAGGTGTCAGGAAAGTCTAGAGGATGCAGAACTGCCTCTGAAAACCTGGCATCAAGTGTGTTTAGGCTCGGGGTTGCAGACGGCAGTCTTTCACATCGTAGCGAACTCAGACAGCAGAAGCCGCTTAAAGGGACGCAGTCGCTCCACTGGCACCTCCTGGACCCTGACTGGGCCTTCTCCACATTCTGTCCTAGTTGCAGAAGAAGACCGAAGGCTTGACATCTGGGGACACCGAGAAATCCAGAGAGAAAAGCATAGAAGTAAAAAATAGTGAAGGTAACACTATGTTGAATTGGTTTCTCCACGCCTGCAGTAACTCAGGCTAAAACGGGAGGAGGGTGCTGAGAAGTCTGTGGGAGGGTGGACGGAAGGAGGGAGGGCGGGAGGAATTCTTAATTTGGGAATGTGCTTAAGTAAGCGAAACGTGTATTCCTTGCATCTAATAATGAGACTTGGGCTCTGAAGGAAGGGGAACATACTTTCATGAATAGAAAAACATTAATAATTAGCGTTTGTGCTACTTCTAAGAGAAAGTTTTTTTATTTTTTATTGTATTCTATTCTATTTTTTTTAGTCAGGGTCTCACTCTGTCACCCAGGCTAGAGTGCAGTGGCATGATCAATGGCGATCACGGCTCATGGCAGCCTCTACCTCCTGGGCTCAGGCGATCCTTCCACTTCAGAATCCCAAGTAGCTAATTGGGATTTTGTTTGTTTGTTTTTTGTAGAGACGGGGTCTTACTGTGTTGTCCAGGCTGGTCTCAAACTCCTGGGCTCAAGCAATCCTCCCACCTCGGCCTCCCAAAGTGCTAGGATTCCAGGCATGAGCCACCATACCTGGCTTCCACCTTTTTAAAAATGCGATTGAAGTAGTTAAAGGTTTTCCAAAATGAAATATTTGCTTATATGATTTCAAGCATTTTCCTCTGCCCTTGTCCATACTAGTCATTCATTTAGTCCACGTGGAATGCAGAAACAGCCCATTTGACCACTTCATAATAAGGTCATGCCACACACGTGCCTAACAGATAATTTGAGAGTCTCGTATTTTATCGAGCATTCAAGGCTCAGAGCATGAGACACTGGTTATGGTTTGTAAGAGGAGCCATGGCCGGCTTCAGCATCCCACACATCTTGTTTTGAATCCAAGCATTACTAATTACAAGCTGAGAGACACACACTAGTGTCTCACCCTCTCTGAACTCATAGCCCTAATCTAAACCAGAAGTAACACTGCCATTTTTATTGCTGTTTTAGCCAAATGCCGGTCCCTACACAGTGCTTGTTAAACATTGGCATTTGATTTTTTAAGTTAGATCACATTGTTCAATGGCTCAGAGGAGGGGCCAGTATTGTTTTATTTGACCTAAATGTGCTCAACAATGTGTCTGATGGCTTCTGTCTTTCAAAATGGTGTGTGTGTGAGCCTGTGACATTTGTGATGCTTGCTGCCAGCACATCTTCAACCCCGACAAAAGCAAACCAGTGGTCATTTTCCTTCTTCAGCAGACTGTGTCTGAGAAAGCAGAGGCCACAACACATGAGTCCTGTCCAGAAAGGATGGCTGTGCTGTGGGGAATCCCCCATTCAGGAACAAGATCTCTGGACACCGGATACCACAAGACCACATTTTCTAAGAACTGTTTTGTCCACTGATAACAAAAAAAAGGAATTCATGATGCTGTACAGAATTTTTATTTTTAAACTGTCTTTTAAATAATATATTCTTATACAGAAATGGGTGCTGTACTTTTTCCTCGGTAGAGTTGTGTATCCTGGGGCTGCTTCCGGTAAGTTCCCTTATGGAGGCGGAGAACACTGCGCTTTTCCCACAGATGCACCTTAGCGCGACTGACTGGCGTGATATGATGCATACATCTGTGTAAATTCAGCATTAAATGTCAGATTGGTGCCCTGAGCGCAAGGACAAACCCGTATCCTGTGTTTCTGAGCAGAGGGAGATGTAAGGAGATCTGGGGACTGAGGCAGTTGGTCAGGCTATAGGTCATGTGTTGGAGCAAACGTGCACGTAGTCACAGGGTAGCACACCACTGGGCGCATGGTCACAGGGAGGTTGGTGGTTTAAGAGTTAAAACCCCAGATAAGGAAAAGAGACACATCTACTTAGCACATTTGACAGTCTCTGTCTCAGTGGAGGAGAGATGCCCTTTCCTTTCTAAGTTGGATTTGGTGACAAGCATCGAGGATATTCTGGGTGGCACTCTGTCCCACAGGGAGGCCCAGCACCTGGCTTCTTCATGGTCACACTTTGGTTCTTGCTGAGATGGTCACGCACAGCTGAACTTTCACTCAGACTCACGGCGTGCACTTGAACTCCCAGAGACTCGATTTATAAAAAGCAAAGAAAGACCAGGCACAATGGCTCCTGCCTGCAACCCCAGCACTTGGGGAGGCCGCGGTGAGAGGATTGCATGAGCCCAGGAGTTCGAGACGAGCCTGATTTATTTTTTCTACATAAATCAAAAAATCATGGGCATGGTGGTACACAGCCGTAGTCCCAGTTACTCAGGAGGCTGAGGTGGGAGGATCTCCTGAGCTCAAGAGGTCGAGGCTGTGGTAAGCCATGATTGTGCCACTGTACTCTAGCCTGGGAGACAGGGTGAGACCTCAGTGGAAGGAAGGGAAGGAGGGAGGGAGAGAGAGAGGCAGGGAGGGAGGGAGGGAAGGCGGGAGAAAAAGAAAAAAAGGAAAAGGCTGCTAAACGTCTTCCCTGGGCATGGGCTCCCTCTCTGCCACCTTCTAGGGCCAACAGAGGACCATGACCCTGAAAAGCTGATCTTTAAGGGCCACTTGGATAATCTGAGCTTTGTAGATGTTTCACTAGTATATTGGTTCGATTTCCTTGGAGCATTTGTTCCCTCTTGGTGAATTCCAGAATATCATTTCCTGTCTTTGAATAATTCATTTTTGACCTGTAAAATTTTCCATCTCTTCTTGAATCCAGCTCAGTAGGGATAGGGACCTTGAATTCTACACCTCTTCTTGTTCTTACTTTTGTTTTTCATTTTAATCCTGCTAAAGTCAATATATATGGTGGGTTTGGCAAAAAGACAGCCAAAATGTAGATGTACAGATATTGACACCCTTGGCCTTGTGCCATCCTCTGAGAAAGATTTATTATCTGCTCTCCTTGTCGGGAAAAACAGCTCTTTGTGCAATACCTTCCACCTGCTAAATTGCTTGGAATGCCCACCTGGCCAGACCTTGCCTCCTTGTCAAACTCCATGAGATGCTTTGTTAAATTCTGCACTCATGAACATACACATTTACAGATACAGAGACACACGATCACACAGGTACACACACGTGGTTACACACACACACTCCTACACATCAGTGTACTCCCTCTGGCTTTATGCTGTTCCACGTTGTGGACCAACAAAATCAACAAATAACAGAAATCCGCAGGAGAGAATGCAGTGGCAGGTCCACAATGGGTCGTGGTCCTTGTGTGCCTGCTTGGCTTCCACGAATGGGGCCACGTAGACACTGGTATGGAAGCATCAGTCCCCACAAAATTATTTCCCCAGCCTTCTGCTTCACAAATGCTTCTGTGCTGCGGGTACTTACCATCCTGTAAACTGAGCCTCCAGGGAAGACAAGGCCAAGCTTGACTTACCTCTCAAGGGGCAGGTTCCCTCCCGTCAGGCTGCAGAGAAACCCCACCAGCCAACCCTCCTGAACCCCAGAGCAGCTCAAGCCCCAAGGTCAGAGTTCCTGTTCATCCCAGGCACCCTGCACACCCAGAGCCAGCCCCACCTGGGGGGCATCCCCGTGTTGGTTGAATCACTGGCTGCTCAAGGCAGTGGGGGCTCAGGGCTAGTCAGATGTGCCCATGGCCACAGAGGCGCTCTTGGTGCGGCAGCAAAGGCAGACATGGGAACCCAGCACCCAGTCCTGGAGCGAGTAGCAGAGAGAGGGTTCCCATCCTCCACCAGCACAACTCACTGCACAGGACGTCCCTGTGAGGTGGGCAGCAAAGCCACCACCCAGGATAGTGTGTTTCCAAGTAAACTTTCTCTCTGACAATCAGTGTTAAGTCAACATGAAGGAAAAAAATGTTGGCCGAGCATAGTGGCTCACACCTGTATTTCCAGCACTTTGAGAGGCTGAGGCAGGAGGATTGCTTGAGCCCGAGAGTTCAAGACCAGCCTGGGCAATGGAGCAAGATGGTCTCTATAAAAAATTTTATTTGTGTTCCTTCCTTCCTGCTTCTCTGGCACATTTCGCGATATGGGGTTGAGGCTCTCCAATCTGCCAGCACCACCTGAGAATCCCAGAAACCACCTCCACAATGGAAGAGAATCAGGAGGTGGAGAGAAAAATGTCTGGATTGAAGACCTCAATGGCTGAAGGCAGGAGGAAGACAGCCCTGGAAATGGCCCAGGCAGCTGGAACAGACAGAAACTTTGTGATATTTGTGTTGCAAGAGGAGGACCATACCCTAGGAAGTTCTTGTGTCACATGATCATGAAGAACCCGGAAGTGGAATTTTGTGGTTGCACTATGACCCATGCTTCAGAGAGCAAAATTAATTTACACGTTCAGACCCGGGATGCTCGTCCAGCTCTTGAGCCATTTCAGAGAGGCTTGAATGAGCTTGTGGATGTCTGCCAACCTGTGCTTGACAAGAGGCCAGCATAAAGGACATAAGGATCAAAAGTCAAGCAGAAATAAGTCCACAGTCTAGTCCTTTATGTAGTGTTCACAGGGGACTGTCCTTTAGGATACTCTTCTTGACCAAGCAGAACCCAGAATTAGTTTGTCATGATAGCGTGTTCTATCCTTCAGAAAGTTCTAGCTTTTGACCCATTACAGCTGTTGAAACCCCTGCAATAACTTCTGATAAATTCCCTCTTTTGTTTAAAAAAATGTTTTTAATTAGCCAGACACAGTGACACTCAACGCCCATAGTCTCAGCTACTCAGGAGGCTGAGGTGGGAGGATCACTTAAACCCAGGAGTTTGCAGCTGCAGTGAGCCTTGATCGCCATCACTGCACTGCAACCTGGGTGACAGAGTGAGACCCTGTCTCTAAAAAATATTTAGAATGTTTAGGGTTGAGACACATGTTAGGAGGCAAGCAATGGCCGTGCTTATCTTGGGGACACTGCCACTGGGGTTGTTGGCCAGCATGCAGCGTGTTGGATCAGGACACTTTGCCAAAGAGCATGAAATCCGCAAAGGAGAGTGTTGGCCTGCACTCACCCAGCACCATCTGGAGCCCAGCCATGACTTCGTCCCTTGTGTTCCTCCCAGGGGACAAGGAAATGCTGTTTTCCCCGGTTTTTCTCGCCAAAATGTTTCCTAGCAATTCAAGGAACAGTGTATGTGTAAAAACTAAGAGCTGACCACGTGCACCCTGGAAATGCAGCCCCTCACCCTCCCACTTAATGCAGGCCCTTGTGATTTCAGCTTTCTTGTTGGGTTTTTTGTTTGTTTGTTTGTTTGTTTGTTTGTGTCAGGGTCTCTCTCTGATGCCCAAGCTGGAGTGCCATGGCACAATCACAGCTCACCACAGCCTGGACCTCCTGGGCTCAAGTGATCCTCCCGTGTCAGGCTCCCAAGCAGTTAGGACACCACCACACCTGACTAATTTTTATGTTCTTTTTTTTTTTGTAGAGATGAGGTCTTGCTATGTTGCCCAAGGTGGTCTTGAACTCCTGGACTCTAACAATCCTCCCACCTCAACCTTCCTAAGTGCTGGGATTACAGGTGTAAGCCACCACACTTGGGCTCTGGGAGCTGAATTTGAGTCTGGGGGTGATGTACAACACACTGAGGTGATGAGGTCAGCATGAGCCAAGACCCACCCACTTGAGAAGCTCAGAGAGTATCCCCAAGGGGCCTTCCTAAAGAGCAGGAACAAGGGACCAGCACACACAGCCTGATGACCTGGCCATCAAAAACACCAGTCATCAGGGTGGCCCTCCTTCCTGAGACCAGTCATCCAAGTACCACCATCTGTTGACTATATGACCTCTGACACAATGACTTAAGCTCTCCTGTACCCCTCACTCATCTGCCATGTGGAGATGATACCAGAACTGAAGAGTGGATGGAGATGGGTGGATGGATAAATGGATGGATCCATGGATGGATGGATGGATGGGTGGATGTGTGGGTGGATGAAAGGATAGATGGATGATGGATGGATGGATGGATCTGACCTTCAATCCTGGCATGAGGCTTGAAAAATCTCATGTATGACCAGAGTCAGACACATAGGAGGCCCTGTACAGATCCAGGGTGAGCCAGTTCAGATAGCCTCAGACCAGGGAGGGAGAGTTCTTCTCAGACTTTGAGAATGCTCCCAGTTCCTGAGCCCACCAGCAAAGGGGGGGGGTCCCAATGGTATCCAGTGCCCAATGGGAAGGGCATTTTGTGAGTCAGGCATGTCCGTGAGTCAGAGGGTGCCAAACTTTCTCTGTTAATAGCTTCAGGGAGACACCAACACAGGGAACCCCTCTTTCTGGCCACACCACTCTCCCCATCATTCCCCAGCTCCTGGGAAGCAAAAGCAAAAGGCATCTGCAGAGGGGAAGGGGATGTGTCTTCAAAACTCCCCAGCAGAGAGGAGGAAGCTGAGAGAGTCATGCCTCTCCTTGGCTCCAGGCTTTATGAACACGTGTGAGATGGCAAAGCTTCCCTGGTGCTTCCACCACCCCACCCCACCCAGGACTTCTCACCCTCCTCAGCAGAAA